GATTGAAAACATGAATAGGTGGTACTATAGACAAGTTTTCACAACAGAGGAATTTGTAGCTATACTTATTTTTATGGAATCCACTTGGTAGATGATTTTATGGTTTATTTGTTGAAGTGTCTGTTTACATTAATCAAGTCTTTGAGACCTCTAAACAAGGAACAACTCCTCACTGTCTCCCTCCTCCTATTCCTTTTCCTTCCCCTCCTCCTCCTTCTTCCAACACATCATATTTCCAAACTCCCACTCTGCTGACTCACCGTCAAAGGCTGTTTATTCTCTTCCAGAGCACCTTACAGTTTCTCTTTTGTAACAGTTCGTAGACTCGTAATTATTTGCTCATTGTTTATCTTCCCCACTGGATGGTAAATCCAGGAGGACAGTCTTTATTGTTTACCACTGTATCCCTAGAGTCCGTCTCAGTGCCTGCCATGTAATAGGTGCTCAATAAACATTTATTGAATGAACTAATAAATTCTTAACCTTGGATTCACATTTATAAACTTAATCTACTCAACCTGATCAAATGTAGAAGTCTGTTCTTTCTAGTAGTCCCTGCCTTCCAGGAAGCATTATCTCCAATAATACAGAATAATTAGAGTCCTCTGATTAAAATAGTGTTGGATAGACTTACTTCATATACATAACGTTACTACCTTCAAGGTAAATCTCTACATATCAAGTGGAAGGCAAGAATATGGATTACCCTAGGTTAACCTGATGTGTTTTATACTGGAATCATCCAATGCACACAATCATTCAAACCATTCACACAAACAAATATTTATTGAGCTACTACCATGTATCAAACTCTGTAGGTCAAATACTGTATTAGTTTCCTAGGGTTACCATAACAAATTACCACACATAGTGGCTTAAAACACCAAATTCGTTCTCTCACAGTTATGGAAGCCAGAAGCAGAAGCATACTCTCCCCTAAGGCTCTAGGAGAGAAGCCTTCCTTGCCTCTCCCACTGTCTGGTGGCTCCAGGCATTCCTTGGCTTGTGGCTGCATAACTCTAGTCTCTGTCTCTGGCCTTCTCCTCTTTATTTTCTCTTCTTCTGTCTCTTATAAAGACCCTTTTCATGGATTTGGGCCCACCCAGTTGATCCAGGATGATTGAGGTCCTCAGTTACACCTACAAATTCCTTTTGGGGGAGGGGGAGGAGGAAAGGGTGTCTTCATTCAACATATTATAGATACTATAGTGAATAAAGTCCCTGCAATAGAATTTGCAATCTAATAGAAAGATTACCAAAAAAAGGTAATTTCAGTAAAACATGATAGAAATTTATGGATAAAAGTAGTACAAGGGTCTATGGGAACATATATCTAGGGACCTAACAAAATCTAAACAACCAGAAAATGATGTGATGTTCATGTAGGAGAATTGATTAGGAATTGACCATGAAAGTCCAGCGCATTGAAGGAACTGGCAGAAATTTAGCATGGTTAGAGAATGATGAGAGATGAATCTGGAGATATATGCTAGAGCCATTTGTAGAGAGCCTTGTTAACAAAGTTAAGGGCTTTGGACTTTATCCTGAGATAAAGTCAGAGACCTGTGTTTGGCTACATTAATACGATAAAAAGGCAGAAATTATCCCTATCCAGACCAAGAGCTGAAGCACAGGTCCTATGAATTCCTCTTATTTCCATATGGCAAATCTTGTTCTTCCCAGTATTTGATTGCAGCCTTAGTGAATAACACAATATCATAGTAAAATTGCTCTGAAGGATTGTGTTAAGAATATTTAATTCAGCATTCTCATTTTTACAGACATAAAACCAAGGTCAAGCAAGGCTATGATGGTTCTAGAACACACAGAAGAGCCCCAAGCCAGTTGTTCTGTTAGTGTAAATGGTGGTGCAAAATAGTGGCAATAGTATGGACTTGGAGACTGATAAATCAGGGTTGGGTGGCCAGCTTTCTTGTGTACAAGTCGTGTGACCTTAGGCAAGTAATATAACCACTTAAACTAGGAATAATAATAGTACCTACCTATTAAGATGTTGTGCAGATAAATTTGATAATGAATTTGAAACACTAAGCATGCTGCTAGAGGAGAGTTTACTACTGAGTATATATGGCTATTGTTGATGACGATGATGAGATTCATAATGTTTTCATAATCAACCCAGCCCCATCATCCAGAGAATTTTACTGTCGGTATAATAGTACATCACATTATATACTCTTATTTTCAAATGACTTATTTTCAAATATATATATATACATATATATATATATAATATTCTCCACAGAGGAGTGTTTAGAATTCCTAATACAGATGTTTAAGAAACAATTATGCAGAAATATACATTTTTCAAAGTGTCACATCTTAATACTGTTATCCTATTAAAGTCTTAATTGAAGCAAAGTTCATAAATATGTAATCACAAGGGTGAAAAAGAAGACATATTAGTAGTACTGGCATTTTACTGAGCAATTATTTAAATTAAACAACACAATTTTCTATAATGAGGTAATCTGATTTTCCAAAGGTACCCAATTACATAATCATCTCCACCATCTGAACTTTGAATACATGGTGTCAATAAATCACTTGCTACCTGGCTACCATGAAAATACATGCTCTAGGTTTAAAACTCTTGAACTATATATTTTACAAATACACCAGTTGGTAAGTAAATAATGTTTTCTTTTTAAATGCTACCTCCTTTATCTTCAAAAAGTTAATGTTTTCTATAACATCTACTCCTTACAATTTGTTATTCAATAATTTTCAATGAGAAAATGTGACATTTTAAAGCACACATTAATTCCCATGGTATCAGTGTTATTTTGAAAATTAGGAAATCCGGTGAGGACCTAATAAAATACCTTCAGTACGTTATTTATTGGATAAGATTCAACTATTTAACTTGTCTCTACACAGGTTGTGTGCTACAACTCAACACTGAAATAGATTGCCTGAAAATATCTTGATAAAACCATAGTGACTGGGCTTCCCTGGTGGCGCAGTGGGTGAGAGTCCGCCTGCCGATGCAGGGGACACGGGTTCGTGCCCTGGTCCGGGAAGATCCCACATGCCGCGGAGCAGCTGGGCCCGTGAGCCATGGCCGCTGAGCCTGCGCGTCCAGAGCCTGTGCTCTGCGACGGGAGAGGCCATAACAGTGAGAGGCCTGCATACTGCAAAAAAAAAAAAGAAAAAAAATCATAGTGACTAAGGTCTAATTCCAAGGTTTAGTAAATTTCTTACTAAAACATGAACATAAATGACTTTTGTTTTTATTTACATTTATATTTCTTAAACAGCCTCCTAAATGCTTAACTGGTTTCTTACTGACTCAACAATAGCATTTAAGGTTTAGATATTCTCTAGTAGATATGTCATTTTTATGAGAAAGTTATTACTCTGGCTATGATTTGCACATAGTTTACCCCGTACTTGATTCCCAGAAAAAGATCTACTTCTACGGAAAGTACCCAGGTTTAATAAATTTAAATTATTATGGTAGAGAACTAAGCAGTTTGCTTTTCAGTTATATTCTTTCTTTGATTCAGTTCGCTGCTTTCAACTGATTAATCATTTTTTATAGTAATCTAAATAAAAATCAAGCTTTATTTAAGTTAAGGGATATTGGAGGCACTGATTGATTTAATGTTTTAGAATATTGATAATTAACTGAATTATTATTGCAAGTTATAGCATAGGAAGGAGAAATGAAACAAATATGTAAAGCCTGAATTCTGGTGATAGTCATGTGTGAGGTGGATCAAGTTCTTTAACTTCACTGAGCTTCAGTTTCCTTACTTCTATTATTAAGCAATTACCCATATGCCGTCCAATAAAATTGTATCTCATTAAAACTTCAGTAATACAGAGAAGGAAAAGTGCTAATGAATTAATTGAACTAAGATATTTTAAAAGATTCCTGGAAGGTTAGTGAAACATGCAGCGCTTGCAGTTTTGATACAGTTTTGTAAATGAGAGAAGTAATATGCTGTTATCATACATAATCTATACTTTTCCTGAAACAAGGAAGCTTTTAAATGTCATTTTTTTTAATGACTGCTAGTCAAACATCTAAGCAACTACTATGTATACCCTTGTGCTCTAGAGGTGGGAATTCATAACTTTGATGTTTGAATTAAGTTCTTTGAAATATAAAGAAGTTTGTTCTTAAATTGTGCAATAATAGCCTTTTCACTTTGTGAAAACAGACATCAAAACAGTTTGTAAAGCCTGGTCTGTTGGTGGATGGTCAGGCCACTCAAGATGGCTCTCCTCTTACTCTCTGTCCACCCACTGCTAGACCAGCCCATGCTTCACCTACACCCTGCTCACATGACTATACAATCCTCTTAATTATAGGGTTTAACCAGTAACTGCCTACATGCTTGCCACCTGTACCAGCTGCTGGTTTCCCTGGTAACTGATGAGCCAACCTGAAGTCAATTCCCCCTATAAATGGTAGCACCACCCCCGCCTCTATAGTGAAGGCTGTTACTGTGTCCTGCCTGCTCTCTGCTGTCCACGATGGGGTGTCGCTCCAGGACTTACAGACTTGTAAGAATCCCTAACCAATAAGCCATCGCTGTCTCTGTCACTGTCTTCTGGCTCTTTCTTTTGTCTCTCAGCTGGGCATTTACAAGGTTTGCAGGCCTGCAGGGTGTAGCCCAACAGTTGGCAAAAGTGTTCAAGTAAATAACTTAGCAATTATATAAACAAAATCCTTTAGTGCGTCTGCTGATTTAATTTTGCAAAACCTACTTAATCTTAAAATGAGGGGTAACAGGAATCCATCTGCTTTCTTGGTATTTTTGCAAAAAAGAAGAAAGGGTTATGTGGTAGGTTATGACCTCAGTCTTCAGCCCTCATTTGGGGTTTGCATCTTGTGTGCCAAATAAAGGGCGAATGTGGTGGGATTTTTTGGTATGCATTACCATATTTTCAAGCATATACTAAGTTGTAAAATAATTTGGTAGTGAAACGTCACCCAGGGAAATGCTAATATTGTACCTGTGTTTCAGCTTCTGACATGGCAGCGGAACAGGGGCAGATTCTCGTGATAGCCACCGCGGCCGTGGGAGGATTCACTCTCCTCGTCATTCTTACTTTGTTCTTCCTAATCACTGGAAGGTAACTGAATTATACCAGAATATTTCCAAGATTTGTGAATAGCCATTCTTCTTATACACTGTGCGTTCAGGGGCTTTTAAACTTAGCAAAGTATACATGTGAGAAAAAGGGGTCAAGGCAGATTCCACTCTGACAGTGAACTCTATGTGGCAATAGAACCACCATGGCAAGTTCTCTGTCAACAGTTCCCTGAATATGGAAGCAACTGAAGACTTGATAAAAACACTTTGAAGACAATGAGTGATAAAATCCTACTTAATAAGTTACGTCTGGGTTTTTCCTTTACTGCAATCAAATTATACCATTAAAGGGATTTTGCTTGGAAAAAAAATATAATTCAACAGAGAAACTGAACAATATATATAAAGTGCTTTATAAACTTAATATTATAGAAATGTTTTATTCTATCCATTAAATATTGAAAGGATCTATATTAGAACTATATTAATGGTTGTATAAATCAAGTTATTATTCCACCTAAGAGTAATATGGATGAAAATTTAAAATAACAATAAATTTAATGTAGCAAAAGACCGAGACTTGAATCCCAACTAGCTGGTCAAAGTGCTTCATCCATCTAAACCTTAGATTTCTATTTTTACACAGTTTGGTATCACAAAGCATTAAAATGCTTTATTGATTTTTAAACATATTAGATTGTTTCCATGAGCCAGTTACTGACAATGCAGAGATGTGAATGAAGAAAGTGTGTATGAAATTATTTAAAAGAATAAGTGTCATTTCTTATTGAGCTCTTGATATTTGGCCCAGACTTTTGTCAGAAATTGTGAAGTCTTCAGATCATATTTTCACTCCTACAAGGGGAAAATATTCCATCTAGATTATCAATAGTGGCACAAAATACCTTGAGAGTTTTCCTGATACAGCAAAATATCAGTGTCATGATTTAAAACTGTAATAAGAATGCCAGTGAAACAATACACATCCTTACTGACTCCAGCTAAAATACACCAGCTCTGCTGGGAAACCCTGATTATTTGATGATGCCCAGAAATTACCTTCAGAGCCAGTAGTTCAGCAACTATGAACACCCTTTGTTTTATTCATTTTTAAAACTCTTACATACCAATATTTTGTTAAAAATCATTACAGAATTATAGAGAATATGCATATATGAAAAAATATCTGAAATTTTGACAGCAGACTAGAAGTATATATCAATAAATTGACAATTACTTAGACACTTATCAAGTGTGGGTCCCTGAGGAAATGTAACTGCTACCTGTTAAGAGTGTATCAGATTTAGTTATAACAAATCCACTTTATAGGATTTATCAAGGAACAAAGAAACACGAGGATATTCTAATGTGGTTAAGTTGAAATGGTGGCTTCCTTATGAAATTAATTGTAAAAGGGGCACATTTACCCCTATGTTCACTTAAAATTTTCAGGTGTATTAATAGACATAGCATGACTCTTGCAATTAATAGTGTCTCAGAGTTCATTTTAATAGCAGTGTCATATTTATTGTCAATTTTAAAGAATGCCTCTAAGTTCATAATGGAAATTGATTCAAATTCTATTTTATTTAATAGTGATTCAACATGTAGCAAAATTGGTTCTGATTTTTAAGTTATATTTTATGTATTTGTAGAACATGAGCTAAGGCCTTATTTCCTCACAGAGTATTTCAGCAAACAGTGATTTAAATAGCACATACACATGTAGAAAAACATTTCATTAAAATATCAGAAAATACTGCCTTTATACATAAAAATGACAAAAGAAGACTTTACAGTCATTGTAGGCTAAATAAAATTGGCCTAATAAACCTGAGATTTGGGCTCGACTGCTATCTTTATTTGGGATTCCTGAAGCAGAATTTGAGTACCATTTTTTAAAAGATTTAATAATAATCAAAAAAATTGAAAGTTGAAAATAATTTAGTACAATTTCCATGTTTGCCAATTTATATGACATCAGAAACTGCCTTAACATTCTACATACTGGAAAAAAAAAGTTCAATTACATAAGATAAAATAATTCATTCTGGAGCATCTTTTAAGCACTATGCTAGGGGAGCATTCACTGGAAATTATTCTATGAAAATTGTAAGACGTTTCTGAATAAATATGCAATTTGTCATAGGATCTGAGACCAAATTCACACTGAAAGATTGGGTTGTGCACCACAGATGTGTTCTGTTTAACCATTTGGAATTAGCAACTTGATGAGCTGTTAGATAATATGGATGTTGCCGAATTTTTCATGTTGAAGAAGTCATAGGAGATAAGCACCTGCCTGTTCTTCAGAGCGTGATTCTTCCGAGAAAGCACAGAACATGCCTCCACCACATTTCTAATATTAAAAAAAAAAAATGCGGTTTAGCACTGAAACTGGAAGACAGTTGTCTAAATTTCTGAGATTCTGAATCAAAAACAATTTTTCCATTGTGACTTTTAATGCATTTCATCGACTCTAGCTATTAGAGACCATGTAAGGAAAGACATGATGGTTATTGCTTGTTATTAAATATTTTCTAAACTTCCTATCATGTGGATCAGTCAATCCACTTGAGAGTATTTTATTCCTATCTGGGGCTAATTTTGATGTATTTAAAAAAAACCTTCTATGGAGTATTTTCATATGTTATAAATATGTTCTTAAAAGTGGTCTTTATAACTTTTGCCTATGGGTGATAAGTATTTTAATTAATATTGGTTCTTATCCTGCATAATTACTAAAATAAGATTCTGTTTACCTTTTTTAAAGATGTCAATGGTATATAAAGGCCAAAATGAAGTCAGAAGAGAAGAGAAGAAAGGACTTACAGAATGGGCATTGTAAGTAGTTCAGTGACAGTATTCCATAATTTTCTACTGTTCCAGCACTTCAAGAGTTCATTTTAAACTTGTATCCATGAATTGTGAAAGCCAAAGAAATTCAGTTCCAACCTTTCAGCATTAAGACTTTTCATCTGGTTTCTAGGTTTGCTGGTGGAAATTGCACCTGCTTCTCATTAAATGATATTACCTTTTTCCTAATTCTGCTTGCTGGAAAACACAACAGACTGAATATGCTAAAAATACAAGATGACTGATTATATCTAGTTATTTACCATTCACAATGGCTCCAAAACATTAGTTGGTTTTATTTAGTGGAGTATTAGCCATAGAAATATTAAGGAATTCTTATTCCCTCTTACAGGGACTGTCATTTAACATATAACAAATCAATTTACAATTCATTAACACTAAAATAGAAAATCAGCTCTTTAACTCTTAGAATATGTATGAAATCCTTGAGCTGACTACAAGGTTATATTCATTTGAAGGATCTCTTCCCAAGCAAGCTATAATTACCACTATAGTTGGTTTGATAATTGCCACCATCTCCTCCCCAACACCCACCTTCACCTCCACCTCCAAATTGCAAACTACTTTGTCAAGACAGATTCTCTGGCATGAGACGCTGAATTAACAGGAAAGGGATGTTCTCTAATTAACCACAGTATAGAGATAATATGTGAGGCAAGTTGTTTAACTATTTAAACTCATCTTCTATTTCAAATTGAGCTCAAGTCATAAGGGACTTTTCGATCTATATTACCCTCCAGCTAACGGAAAGGATTTAAGTGAGGAAATTATAAACTAGAGGGATGCTTTAGGGCTATTTTTAAGGCTCATGTGATTTCTCAGACAGAGGTCTGAGGACAAGCTGCATTAGAATGTTTCACCCTTACTCACCAAAGTTCAGACTCAGAAGGTCCAGGGTAGGGCTAAGACATAAACATTTTCAGGAAGCTCTCCTAGGTGGTTCTTTTCACAAAGAGTTTGAGGCTCACTGCCCTGGCAGAGAAGGGAGAGCCGAGACAGCTGATACCAGGCAAAGGATGAGCTGAAAGTAATGTAGACAGAGGCAGAAACCTGGATCTAGACACCTGGACCAATGACTTAAGCTGAGCAACCCTAAGATTCACTGCAGTGAATTCAGTACTGAACTGCAAAAGAAAAAGATGCTCCTGAGGTACTTATTACCTGTTTTCCAACTAGCAGTTTAGCATAAACTAAACCAGATGGGCCCAGCAAGAAGCAATGAAAATAACCTGAGGCAGCCAGGTACAACAGAAGAAAGATAACAAACAGATGTTTAAGAAGACACGAATAAGTAGTAACCAGATATTCAAAATTGAAGCTAAGTTTGGGTTTTTGTTTTTTCCTATACTACATATATTGTAAAAAAAAAAAAAAAAAAAAGTGATACTAACTAATCAGTTTATTCTGTAGAATGTATATCACTTTAAATTATTGAATGGTTAAATGTTAAAACCATGTATGAGTTAATAAATGGCATCTGTTACCTGTGCATAAAGTAATGTTATCAATATGATACTACTAATCATCTCATAGTAGCCTTTGAGCTTCTAGCATTCAATCTGAAATCACAGCTCCTACTGTTACAAAAATATCCTGAAGCATATGAACTAGAGGTACAAATGATCTGTTCTTGTTTCCTCCAATCTAAAGTCAAATTCTTGAGTTTGAGAAGTCAAGAAAAGCATAGCATTTCAGAATCAGTCAAATCTATCGAGAAATATGATTTACTGGAGCTCTTTTGGGAAGTACTAATCTTCTCAAATCCAGTACTAGAAGACAGGAAGCAAAAAGTAATGAAAGAAGACAACAGGCATAGAAGAACTCATGAAGCAAATTATTGCTAATAATGGGCATTTCATCACCTCCTCTAAACTCATTTTATTGCCTTTTGTTTGTTTGCTTTTGAGATATTCTTGCAAGAGCATGTTTCTAAGGAGACCTAGGCAATGCTTAATTCAGGGTGTTGTATGTTTTTCAAAATCTAAGAAGCAACAAAACCAGATATAATTTACTCTGCCACAAATTTAGCGTTGATCTTTTAATCCTTACTAATTCGTATTCAGTAAAGGTTTGCTGTGTGTTTATTGCCTATAAAACTACACCTAAGGTATTTGGAAAGGTGCAAAGATGTATAAGAAATGATCTCCTGTCCTCCAGGAGCTAGCAACGTGATGTGGAAAACAGAAACCAGTGAGCAAAACAGAGGAATATCCACAGGGAGTCTGTGACTACTTTACATACTGAAGAAGTTGCAAATTAATATGCAACCAGACATCCAATTTTCTAGCCACCCCTATTCATCTTCCTACCTGCCTGTGGGCTGTGAGCACCCACCAGGGAAAGAGGAGCAGCTACATCTGGGCAGTGACCAGATTTGGACCTTTGATTCTTATCCTCCCCTCCAGGGTAGACAGTGGGTTCTTTCCAGGACAATGTGCAATTTGGCCATGGAAGCAAATACAAGAACACAGGACAGGGCCATTTCCACAGTGTAGTGGTCCTCCCTGTCACTGTGCCATGGAGTCTGTGCTTTACTGCCTAAGAGTTTCTGGAAGGGGAGAGACCACAGGACTGGGACATGAGTTCAGGAAAACCTAGTGCCTTAGAGTACAAAGGTCCAGGAGGGACTCTAAGGGGCTTGTTTTTTTTTTTTTTGGAGGGGGAGAAGGTTTATGCTTTGTTTCCCCCATGTCCTGAGCTAGATCAAATGTAAAATATATGGGTACTAGTGGCTAAGTGAGCTGATTAAACGTTTTACAGAAATATAGTAAAAATGTGTCTTATGGAACTTGTCAGCTCACTCTCTCTGAAATTACGAGGTCATTTTACATCGAGAATTAGGTAAATAAAATTCTGAGTCCAAGTATTCAAAGCTTTAATGGGGTGGCAAGTGGGTGGGGGGGAGACAAAAATAGAAAAGAGAATTGAATTTAAGTAACAAGAATGCTTACATCATAAAAACAAACAACCCGATTAATAAATGGGCAGAGGAGCTAAATAGACATTTTTCTAAAGAAGACATACAGATGGGCAATAGACACATGAAAAGATGCTCAACATCACTAATCATCAAGGAAATGAAAATCAAACCCACAATGAGGTATCACCTTATACATGTCAGAATGGTTATTATCAAAGAGACAACAAAGAACAAGTGTTGGCAGGGACGTGGAGAAGAGGAAACCCTCATGCACTGTTGGCAGGAATGTAAATTGGTACAGCCACTTTGAAAAACAGTGTGGAGGTTCCTCAAAAAAGTAAAAATAGAACTACTATGCAATCCAACAGTTCCAATTCTGGATATTTTCCTGAAGAAAACAAAAACACATATATGTATGCATATGGCTGATTCACTTTGTTGTACAGCAGAAACTAACACAACATTGTAAAGCAATTATCCAATAGATAAGAGGTACAAACTTCCAGTTATTAAATAAGTAATGGATATGTAATGTAAAGTACAGGGAACATAGTCAATAAGATTTTAAAAGCTTTGTATGGTGGCAGGTGGTAACTAGACTTATTGTGGTGATCATTTTGTAATGTATAAAAATATCGAATCACTATGTTGTACACCTGAAACTAACATAATATTGTGAGTCATTTATAGTTCAGTTAAAAAAAAGAATGACTACTTTAGTACGTCACTCCTCATTTCAAATATTCACAAGATGTTTGATTACTAGAATACCCTTGAACTAATTCAGTCTTTTATTTTGTTGCAGTACACTTCCCAGGAATTAAAACTTACATAGATCCAGATACATATGAAGACCCATCCCTAGCAGTCCATGAATTTGCAAAGGAGATCGATCCCTCAAGAATACGCATTGAGAGAGTCATTGGGGCAGGTAAACATAAAGTCTACACTTTTGAAGTTACGATTCCTTAATGGTTTTGTAACTGGTTTATCAACATACTATTTTAAGTCTTAGCAGTTTTAGTCACTGAAAAATTTTTTAAAATGAGAAGTAAAATTATTTTGTATATATGATGTTATTGTTTTAAAAAGTATTGCAAGTGCCCAAATTCAGTTTCCAAACAATGAGAAAATCCATGAAAGTTATTTTTAACATCCTGTAGTCATCCTTTCAGTATTGAGACAAATTACAATGAAACTAGAGTGATTCAGGAATTTATTTTGGAAATGCAACTTCAGGAGTTTGTCATAGGTTATTACAGATTTACTTAAAACCCAACGTCTACAGACATACACTATAATTAGTATTCACAGTGATGACCTTGAGGTCCTGCAAGATCCAGCAGTGTTCTGAGACTCACTGAGTATAAAATTAGGTTCAATATAGTTTCATATCACTTTAATGCAAACTAATAATTTCCGTATGTAGAATATTCAAATACTCAGAACACTATATTATTCAATTATTCTGGATAAATACAAATTTATTATGAACCAGCCCCCAAGAATTTCTTCTGTACATTACTTAGGGCACAGGCCAAGCCAATATAACAAAGAGACCCCAGAATATAAATGTGTTCCTCTTGCAAGTCCTTGACCCAAGGTGAGTAATCCATGCTGGCAGAGGAGCTCTCATGCAAAAGGTCTTGAAAGGACCCAAGTTCCTTCTACTCTTTGCTCTGCCCTCCCCTAGCATGTTATCCTCTGAATGGTCAAAGCTGGTCACCAGCACATCTACCTTTTGGTCTATGAGAAGGAAAAGGAAAGAGTTTGGGCTCTTTGCCTTTGCCTTTAGGACAATCAGCTTTGTCTTTAAGGCAATAACCTGAAATTGCAAACATGTCTATTCACATCTCAATGGTCCAAATGCAATCACGTGGATACACTTAAATGCAAGAGAGTTTGGAAATATAATTTCTGACTGGGCAGCCATGCATGCAGCTAAAAAGGGGAGGGGAATGTGCTACTAAATAGAGAAGGAAGGCTGAATCCTGAAGGGGGGTGTTGTCCTCCTCTAGATGCTGATATCTGTGTAATCCTTTAGAGAGAGAGCAGAACATACCATTCCAGCTGGGTATCATGTCTTTGCAAACACCAGAAGGCTTTCTTCCTTTCAAAACTCTTCTTCACCAGAAAGACTGGCTACATAATTTACAGGGACCAGTGCAAAATGAAAATGTAGAGTTCCTTGTTAAAAAGACTGTTAAGAATTTCAAGACAGTGACAACAGAGCATTAAACAGCAGAGCACTTCTAAACTCAAGGTGCTGGGTGACATAACCCAAGAAGCTGACTATTTCACAGAGAGCTAGCACTACACTGAGAATTCCAGGAAATTTGGAGAGAGCCCTTCCTTATGTCATTTCACTCCTTATGCACCATGGATCATCTCATCTCCTCCATGGCCTATTTTCCCTCTGAAAGCTGACACAAAGGTCCTATACACTTAAATCTTGATGCTCACAGCCAAAGAGGTTGTCTTATCAGAAAGATTAAGAACCTGGAATGGAACCAGATTCTCTCTTCTCTTCTGATGAACATAAAGCACGTCAATAGGCATTAAAGGCATAATTGAAAAGAGTGATTGCGTTATATCCATTTAGTTTGGGGGTTCTTAAGATAGCAGAGGAATAGAAAAGAGAGGAGATTGAGTAATTCCATTGCACCTTATATTTGGCTTTCCTCCTCTGGCCCCTGAGAAAACAATGGTATGACCTTTCATACTGCATTGTTCCATACTCATGTAGGTACAGAAGAAGTATTTCTTGTTGTAGAGTTTTGTGCATATTTTAAACACCAATGTCTGAAATCTGTTGAGAGAGAAAAATCAAGTGTCTGAGGTGTGCAAAGTGTCAACTGAAAAAGAAACAAAACTACACAATTTAAAAACTGCGAGTTGAGTTCATTCATTGTCTTACTGAGGACTATTCCCTGGGAGACAGCCTCTCAGATAGCTCTGAGAAACTGTTCCAAAGAGGTAAAGGGGGATTTGGCAAGTGGGATACGTACAACCAAGCGCACATCTCACAACTCGGTAGAAGGTTGCAGCTAGTCATAGTCATGAGGAGGAACAGGTATCTTAGTTAATGGTTTTAGTGCTTTTCTAAGTATGGGAAGATACAAGAATCCAGGTTCATAAAAATTTTCTCCAGAAAATATCTAACTAGCTGAAGACTTGTTCTGCCAGTTTTCCCAGAACACAGAGTGCCTTCATTCCTGATTTCTGCCCTGAACTCCTTTCAGGGTGTATTAAAGGTCAGTGGCTGCAGTAGCTAATAACTCAGTCCTTATAGAGCTGGATGGCTAGTGCTAGTGACATTCTTTAGTTAGCAAGACAAATAAATTCAGTTTATCTTTAGTGTTTGGGTTTTTTTAACCAAAATATAATTTTATCCTGAAAAAGTATGACAGATATTGCCAAAGCAAACCATAACTATTAAAGAGACTATTTTAATATCACGGCCTCCCTACTCTGTCTAAACTCTAGTATGTCAAAATGGGATTAATTTTTTTTGGCTAAGACAGAAGATGTATAGGTGTATAGGATTAACATCAGTGTCCCTTTTATAATTATTCATCTTTGACTATTTCAAACAATATGCTAAGTGATCATTTACTATCTTCAGAAAAATCATAAAAATAAAAATGCTTTATGAGAAAAAGCTATTGTAATATAACTTCCCTCTTTGTGCCCCTGGCCTGTACTACTCTATTGTTACTTAACCCCATTAGGTCATGTTCCTAAAGCTCAGCAGCAGTGTGAAAAAAACATTGTTCAGTCAAACGAAGGAATTAATAGAGTTTTCTAACATCCATGACATTGTAAGGGAGGAAAAACTTTCCGCTACCCTTCTAGGGTCTTCTGGCTGGTCTGTTAATTAAATTGGCGTAAGACATTAACAGGAGGAAAAAATCTAATTATATACTACAGGAGCCCCAAAAAGACAATGAGAGGCTCTCACTGACAGGCAGGCAACTGAAGCTTATATGCCATTTTGAGCTGAGAAGAAGCGGGTGGGCTTTGGTGTTTCAGAAGGAAGGAAGACAATTCATAGGAGGATAGGAAGAGCAAATGTTTGGTAAACAAATGTTTGCCAAGCCTTACAGAGACAATGGGGCACAGACGAATTTGATCTCAAGGCCCTGCCTCCTGCCCCCTGCAAGCTTAGGCACCTAGCTCTTAGTCTTTGTAATTATCTTTGATGTTAGCTCTCTTCCTGGACCAGACCCTCTATCTAAGTGGTTTTAGGCAGTTAAGATGGTGGTATAAAGCTCTCCTTGCATCTGTTGGGCCTCGATTATCTACATTTCAAAATACTCCTCGTGCCAAAGTGGCACCTTCTGGGGCAGCCCACCCTGAACCTCATCAACATAACTGCACAACTGTTTACTTGCCCAACTTTTTACTGTCAATACTTTCCTCTGGTTGCATCATATTCTTTACTTTTTCCCCACCCATTTGATTGTTTCTTCTCAAATTCCATTTCTTTATCATCTGTGTACATTAGATATTCCTGTTCCCCTTGGAAGTGTAAATTAAAGGACTTAAGGGGAAATGTGGATGCTATACAGAGGGGGAGTGTTGTGGGGAAGATGGGAAAGAGAGGCAAGATATCAAGTCTTGATAATTGTCAGATGAAAGATATCAGGTCCCATTAAGGCACTGAGAGTAGCGATAGAGAAGGATGCTTAGATTCACAATTCATTGCTGAGGAAAGATCTGCAAGGCCTCCATGTTTTTTGGCAAAGAAATAGTCAAGAATGCTTTCCAGGTTTCCAGTTGGGAGAAATATAATATAATCATTATTTCTTAAGTGTGTTATTAAAAAATGAACCCCAAAATAGTCACATTAAAAGAAAGAAAAGAGCATGGAAAATGATATCACACCTAACCTATGACATTTCTTAACATGTCCACTGAAAAATGTTTATTAGATGACTAATATCTACTTATAAAAAGGCACTGAGCTAATTAGTTTTTCATATTAAGTCACTATGCTTATCAAAGACCGATGTATTCAACCTGTCTTCCACAACCTTTGTCCTGGGATTTTCAACTTTATAACCATCCAAATATTATGTGACAAATCCTTGGAAAATTTAATTTATCCAATATCTAGGCTGTATGTGTATTCTTAAATTATATATGCTATCTTTCAGTGTAAATTTTACTATTTTTTAAAATGTGTTTTCTAGGACTTTTTTCTTTTGTATATCACTATTATGTTTAATAGTGGCAGTTTATCTTTCTTAGTTCATCAATACAGGCCTGAATTTCCATGAAAATGCACATTTCCCTTTAAATGAAGTGAGTAGCTCTGTTGCATAGGAGACGATAAAGATCATCTATCTCCTTTGACTTTTTGCATGATAAACTGAAATACTGTGGCCAGAGGAAAACAGAAACAGTAAAACAGAAATTCCCAGGCTAAGAGAGCCAAATCAGATTAGGGTAGAATCATTATTTTACACATACTTTGAGAGATAATGAGAAAACTAGTAAACTAAATTTTAATCATGGGCTGAAAAAGGTCATTGGAAGGCTATTTCTTTTTCAGGGTCATACTGAACCTAAACCATTCTATGAAAAACTTGCAGAGTATCTAAAATTTTGAAACATTATTCCACTGAAAAAAATCGTTCTTATGTCTCTTAAGCCCATAGGGCACCCTTCTTATATTTGACCTTCCCTTTTTCCCTAGTCTCAACGGAAATGCATAATATCTCCCCATCATTCATATTTCTGTCCCTTTATCTATACAAAACTCATTACCACCTCCAATATCAGCCTTGTCTTCTCCTGGCTTACTGTCACCATTATTTTTTCTCTTCCTTGAAAAGTCAGGAACTTTTAGCTGTTGGTTTCTCAGCAATCATCTGCAGGGAAAAGAAAGTCAAAAGGACAACAAAAAGGATATAAAAAGTGAATGTC